GTCTGTAACCCATATATTAACTTTGTTCTTGATTACCCTCCATTTGTCTAACAGTGACTACATGGTCAATTGTGTTCCTTAGTATGTATAATTCGCGGAGTTATCATGAAGCTTTCGAGACATATCTAATTCAGCAGTGGACTTCTTCATCGATTAATATCACTCAGAAATTTCAAAGGACCTCTATCGATTGCAAATAGAGAACATTTTGTTTAAAAAATTTCGAATTTTTGCATTTTTTTCAAAATTATTGATTTTGTAAGTCATATATCTCGAAGGCAGAGCAATGAAACAAAATATTTTTTTTATCAATCTACAGCTTGTGAAGTTCTCTACAAATAATGTCTTGGAAGCTTTTCAGTCCCATGCTTTCTTTATTTTCTGTGATCGTTCTACAAAGGGTCATATATGACCCGCTGGGGGGGTAAAAGGTTAACCATACTGGCAGCATATTTCTGCTGATTATGTTTTGCACTAGGCCAGAAACGTATTTTAAATGTTTATGTTTGATTTTAGTGTTTTAAATTTCATCTATATTCGGGTATTCGAGCTGGTGGTGGTATTGGTGATGAGCTTGAATCACCTAATGGCGATCCACTAGAATTATATCGAATTGTTTTTGATATAACGTTCTTCTTCTTTATTATTGTCATTCTTCTTGCTATTATTCAAGGTAAAATTGAATTCAGAAAAAAAAAACAGCAAAAAGAATTTTTTCATGCTTAATATATTTCATGAAAATGTTTTAGGCTTGATTATTGACGCTTTTGGTGATCTTCGTGAACAACTTGATTCAGTGAAAGAAACACTTGAAGTAATGCATAGATTTATTTATTTGTTTTTTCTCTTTTATTTCATATTTATATTTTAGACAAAATGTTTCATTTGTGGAATAGGTCAAGATTATTTTGATAAAGAACCGCATGGTTTTGAAGTAAGAACAATTGATTTATAGCAAAAAAAAAAAAAAACTTCGAATTTTTTATTTTAGACTCATACACAAGCAGAACATAATTTTGCCAATTATATGTTCTTTTTAACACATCTTCTTAATAAACCTGATACAGAACATACTGGACAGGTATTGTTGTTATTTAATTAAAATTTAAAGTTAAATCTATTATTTTATTTCTATAGGAGAGTTATGTTTGGGAAATGTATCAAAGTCGTAAATGGGATTTTTTTCCTATTGGTGATTGTTTTCGACGTCAGTATGAATCGGGTAGTGGTGGAACAAGTACAGAAAGTTAAACAAGATTTACATAATCTTGTTTATTTCATCGGTGATTTATTTGAATGGATTTTTCAATTTATTTAGGCACCTATATTTTTTTTGTTGCATTAATGCAAAAACGTTCTTTTTATGATTTGTATGGAGTTCTCTTCTTTTTTTTTAATAAATATTTCAATCGCTTTGAGTGTGATGAAAAAAATTTGATGACGTACTTGATTATTATGAAAACTAAGTTCGAACTATGAACTTTTCTTTAAAGTCGATATCGCTTGAAAAATTGGTTGCGATGCCATACCTTTTACCGTTCAAGGTATGTCCAGAAGATACATGCAAAATAGGGCTTTCAAGCGTACACTTGTTTTCTCTTTGAGTATAGTTCAAGCTATAGTGTTTGATATTACTCTCATTTCAAAGACAGCTCCGTAGTACTTTGGATGACGGAAACGGTTTTCTAGAAATCCTATGGTTGTTTTAATATTGAGCGTGAAGTACAAACTATATTTTTCTCATCAGAAAGAGGATGAATCTATCTATCAAATAAAAAAGCTGTAGTTCACTAGAACCAATCATACTGAATAAAAAACATTTGTTCAAAGCTTGAGCACTTTTTGGCATGAACATTAAATATGATTATACTCAGAACTAATTCAAAAATTTATTTTAAGTTTTATCAAGTAGCTTTCTAGCTAAACGTTGGGTCTTGATGGGGAACGATAACTTCAATTAGGCTTATGGTTTTTCTTTGGATTTAAGTATTAGCTTTTTCACTAGAGAACGTTCTAGAAATTCGTAGCTATTAATCTATATGAAACACCATATTGAAACGCGGATATATAGTACTTTTAAAAATACTCCTTGATACTTTTTATTCCTGTCACTCTTGGTTTTTACATATGAACACTTTTTTCGTAATGTCGTATCATAAATCTTAACTATTCGATATTAGTAACATTCATTACTTTATACGTATGTATACATACGTACATACAAATGAAGACTTTATTGAATCTATTAACTTATTTAAGTAAAGAGGCATCAAAGTATTTATGTTTTTCCGGTGTTTAATCTTTTTTGCACTAGTGATAAAAGCTTTGGCACTATATGGTGCTCTTTGTCTTCTCGTTAATACATCCATTGATCATTTAATAAATGCGACAATTTCAAGAAAATTTTCTGGTTTTACTATTTGTTTGGAACAAATGTTTAGATTGATATTTCATATGCTACTCCATCAATTGAAGAATTTCGTTGGGAAAAAGCTCAACCATATATTATGACTGCTGAGCAAAATAATACAATAGAAAATGCAACACATTATAGTTCATGGTGTCGACAAATTGTACGAGGAATTTCTTCAGCTTCTATGAATAAAGATTTTTTGTATTTAAATATACATGGGAATCTCGTACTCCACCGATATTATCGACAGGATATCATGTTATGATTTTGATTCACTTATTGTGATTAGTATTAATTATCAACTTAATGTAATGGGATTCTTTTCTCAGTCGACTTTATTAGATAATCATGAAAAGACGATTGCAAATCAAGATATTACGGATCAATGTGTAGCAGAGCACAATCTATATATGTTCATATGATTTCACGATTATCAAATAATTTATTTAAGACTGGAAAATTAGAGAGTGAAACCTGTAATACTGTACTATTTCAACGTGATAGTCACTTTGCTTATTCGACAACAAATGGTCTTAGTTTACATCTTGATTGTAATATGACTAATGCAACTCAACACTCATCTTATTTGAGAACTATTAATAGTATTTTACTTGTAATTACTGCAGTCAATGTATCTATCCTATCATAAAATATAACAGCTTTTAAAGATCAAATGCAAATAGGATGGATATTTCCATTTAGTTTTATTGTAGATGAAGTTGAAATACGTGTTCATCCATTAAAATCCTTTCTATCAGGAAGTTTCAATCATACTCATATTCAGAATTTATATACTCCAAATAAATTGAATGGTAACTATTCAAAAGCATTTGTAGCTTTCATATCTCAAGGATGTTTACTTCTAATGTACGTCGTATGGCTGGATATATGCCTGGACAGTTTACATATTTATACACATACGAACATACGTTAGAATACTTTTTCCTTTCAATTCCAAGTTTAGTTATTTGAATTATTCAATTTATTTCAAACATTATCCTATTCGCTTCATACACAGAATATTTTCGAAATGGACGAATTAAATTTAACAAACATCTATTCGTAGATATTGGATAAATATGATTACAAAAGGACAATCGAATAATAATCATAGTTTGTCTTGGCTACCATAACACGAAATGTTTTTATAACTATCAACAGAAGGGTGTGGGTTTTCTCTTGAACCACAACACCACCCACACTCTCTGTGTGAATGGCTCATGTGACACAAAAGGTATAATCTATCATAGCTAAAAAATAAGACAAGCTCATGATGCTTTTCGAGGCATTTTAAATACCTAAAATATTCATTGTAGACTTCTTGACTGATTGGTAATTGAACAGGACAGAAAAGAAACTTATGGAAAAATCCTTTCTCAAGAGTGTATGTGTGGATGTACTATTGTAAAAGAACCAGGACTATATCAACAATCTGAATCGAAATTTTTAATCTTATTATTGCGTCTTCGGCGAATTGAAATACGTCGACTAGTCTATCTGAAACTTTGATACCCAATGAGAGAATACCTCTCGAGGAGCTTCAAAGAGACGAAATCTTTTTAAATGAAAAAAATTCGTAGATTGGACACCCCATTTTGGAACTCTTGATAACCATTGTACAAATGTTAAAGTGAAGATTTGACCATACTTACGTGTGATGAAATTTTTGCCGATCGTCGTCACCCATCTAACAGATGCAGAATAGAAGAATTGAGCATAGGTACTTACGATAGCAAATCCTTCATTGAACAACTGAGCTAAATATCGACTATTACTTTTCGATAGAAAGCATGTTTTAGATTAGTACATGATAATACTTTGACTTTACCATCTTATTCTAAAACTTTGTTTTCTAATTTTTGATCAAAATAAAGGAAACATTTTTTAAACAAGGTAAAAAAAATTTTTTTTTATATTTAAGAACATTTTTAGAATTCAATGAATATGAAGAGAATTCGTCGTGTAAATAAGGGATATTTTGATTAGCAAATATTATGTATAAAATACGGACAAAATATTCAACGTATTCAAAAGCTAATAATTCAGTACTATTATGTTTTCAAGAAAATAACTACAAAGTTCCATCAAGATGCTTGTCTACAGATGCTAAACATCGATTTTAAGAAAAGCATGAAAAGATTAGGAAATATATAACGAACAAAATGAGTAACTTCAATTAGCATCCTACGACGAATATTTGGAATAAATGTAAGTTAATTTTTGCGACATATTTTTATCAAACATCATTAACTGAAGTAAAACATAATAATAATACAGATTTCAAACGCTTCCATTGCTTATTTTATTCGCAATGTAGGCTCGATTCCAAATCCTATTTTTCAAATAAGAAATGTAAAAAAATTAAGAAATTCGATCTCGAGGAAGTTTGAACGCTGGAAATCGAAACCAGAAATCAAAAGAATCATTTCACTACTCTCGATCTTGTGATTTTATAGGGTACTCAGAAAATCGCTGGACGTAAAGTGATCGAACTCACTCTTAGTACTCGAAAATGTTCTTAACATGGGTCATTTTTACCAAGTATTAAAGAAATCCATACCGTTCGAGGGATCGCAACCAATTCAGATACTCGAAAATATCTTTTCGATAGGTTTCTTCTCATCGAGTGCTCGTAAGTTCGATGGACTTCAAGTAAACAAAACCAGTCCAAACACTCGAATCTGTTCTTCTCATGAGTTCATTCTTTCGAATACTCGAAGCTCCGGAGTTGTGTCAAGTGATCGAAATGTATCTGAGTACTCGTAACTGGTTATTCGATGAGACAGAATTTTTAGAGGGCTCTGCACACTCCACTTAAGTCTTTTTAGGTTTGCTTGGAATGACAAAGAACCATAAAGTACGACCAGTTACCATGTAGTATACATTCATAGAATGATTAAAACATAAATAAGTGTTAAGAAAACATAAAGTAAGAAATACTTGAAATGACACACTGGAGTAGCTGTAGCACTACTCTCAGTGGTATTTATCGAACAATATTTATAAGATTGTTTTCAAAAGAGCGTATGAACTCAAGTTTCTTCAATGCGGATGCATTCGAGCTGTGCATTGTACAAATGCGAATTCAACCAGGTTATCTGCTGTGTCATAGTGAAATGACATTCTGGGCGTACGTGTATATAACAACCGATTTTACTGTTAAACAAATCATTGTGCATACGTAAGCCTATTTTGTTCATCAAGTCCATCACTGTAATAAAATATTCAGAGGAATATGTTTTATCGAATAAATTTCGATAACCAACGGGATCCTCGTTTTCAATAATGAACAACACATTACCAAAGCCTATTTCACTCCCTACAATGCATACGGATCTTTTGACCACTTTAAGAATCTTACAGTTAACATCGGCAGCAGCACCAATTTATTTCATTGTATAACGACCTGAGCAGAATTTATCCTTATTAAATACCAATGCCGTAGCTGCCAGGCTATTTTTAAAATGGATATTTCGACTTGAGTTAAAGTTCGGACACGTAGAAACTTCTAAAAATCGCTAATAAATTTCATGCCCCATGGAATAAATTAAACCAGCAGCGACTAAATATTCATAATATTTCTTGTTGGAAAAATGTTCGTTATTGTCTGTTTCTTGTGTATGTTGTTGTGTATCAGAAACGGTACGTATTATGAATATATCGTTGATCGTAATCAATTGAAATAAGTTTTTCGCACTTGCATAATATAAGTTACGCAATAAGATGGATCGAATCATTTGAATTAACTAATCTATCAAAATTGAAGAAATCAAGAAAGAAAAGTTGAGCCGTGTGTAAAGAACCAAGTGAGGGTAATTCTTTCGAAAATGCAACACAGTTTTAATTGACTTCCGTGTAAATTGAATGAATCTTTCTGATCTTGTAGGATTTAGTCATCTAAGCAAAGTCGTAAATTGAAAACATTGAAAACCTTGCAAATAAACCTAGATTCTCGATATATCTTTGTCATTCAAGCTGCAAAGAAGCTACAGAGCTCTGAGTTTCACTGTTGAATAGAAGATAGTTTAGCAATTCTAAAGTGCTAAGAAAACTTGAAAATCCATTGGAATCACATTAAGGCAATGGAAGTCATAAGGCGTCTAAAACTACTATTGCTCTGTAGCGATTTCTCAAAACATAGAATATAGGATTAAACAATGCCCACTACAAAATAAATTATCTCAACGAGTATTATCTCCGCTGAAATATTCTGTTTTCTATGATTTGAGATTGACGAACTGGCTGAGATTTAGTTTAACTCGGAGATCTCACCTTGTCTCTCTATTTGGACTTCTTTGCAAGATTTTTATTTTTTTTAAATATACGTCTATGCTTACAGATCCAAATGCTAGAAGCTCATAAAGTTTTATCGCATTTGCAGAAAGCCAATGTGGATATGGCAGTCAGTCTTCTCCTCATGTACTTCCAAATTCAAACTATTGTTTCTATTCAAATTGTTATTAATCTTTTCAGTCTTTACTTTTGAAAGTCGCCTATAGTGCAACAAGGGCTTCTAATTATTATATAGAAAGATTTTAAGAAAAAAGTCGAATTGACGATTATGAAAACATAAACAGCTTTGGTTAAATTACATAGAACATCTTTTCATTCTATATTGGTTCTCTTAGTTGTTTATTATTTTAACTTACCTTTTCGTCTACTATTCTTTTTTCTTTGTAAAAGTTGTGTAAAATACGAAAGAAAGAAAAAAGGCAATATGTTGTCGGCTTTTTACAACTTGCATCATTATGTTGGTGAAATCTGTGAACGGTAATGATGACGAAAGAATGTAGCTATGTGTAAAAGTGTGGGCGTAGCTGGCGTATGCGTGTGGATGAAAAGAAGTGTGACTCACACCCTTGGGGCGTGGGTATGGGCGAGGTTGGTGTGAGTGTGGGTTTGGGCGGCAGCTATCCGGGCTTATTTTTTGCGGGATTTATTGGAGCTTTTTAATAAGTCCGCAAATACTTTGAGTTAAATTTCACAAGATTTTGCAATGCGTACAAGGTATAGGTGCGGGTGTCGATGTCAATATCTTCTTCATCCATCTACACCTTTAACTAGCCATATTCAAAACTTTTTATTCCATTTATCGAATTACCGATAAATTCAACATTAATTACGAGTCGATGTAGAAAAACATTTCAAATATCTACTGTGGATTTGGTGTTTCTATTATTCCAAAGACTAAAACGTCAATCAGTAGCGTGTAATTAATTTGAATTTGATTGTACTCGATTTTTTTAAAAGTTGCTATCAACTATTGACTATTGTTGATGTTATTAATGCTCTGACTGATAAAACACAGTGCACATCATTTCCTGATAATTTCATTCGTCAATCGGTTGTTCTCTATTGGTAGCTAAGAATCAATTTACTCAAAATGATATCACACAATCGACTAGATCTTTCGATATAATTGCTGATCTTCATTTAATTCATTTTATAAATAATCATCAGTTGATTGAAGCTTCATTCGATAAATTCATTAATAATTTACCAACTGAATCTGAATCGAATCCAAAATATTACAAAACCTATTCATCTTTATGGAATATTCCGACTATTTCAATTCGAACTCGTGCAAAAGTTCTCTATCAATTTATTATACTTCTAGCAAATCTCATATCAACTATCGATTGTAGTCCATTACCATGGCAAAGCGTGCTAATGGGTAAAATCCTAGCCGGCAGAATCTACATGTTATATTCGATGAAATTTCGATTAGTTAATAAATCTTTAGTCAAGGCCGAATTTAAGTCATGTGCCTGTGTACTTACAATCAAGACTATATACAATGTTCCATCAAGTTTATGAATAATTGCACAGGCATGCACATACATTATTTTGAAAGCAGGACAATCGTCTATGAATTGCATAATATCTGGGAATGTATAGTATTGATCAAGGTGGACCGTATCAAGATTTCATATC